GCATGCAGGGGCTCGCTGTGGTGGGCGCCCGGTGGTGAGAGAAGCGCAGAGGGAGCTGCGCAGCCCGCGGCATGGCAGCGACACGCTAAGCGGGGCAGGCGGGCGTGGGGAGAGGCAGAAGGCGGACGGCAGAAGGCAATGCGTGAATGGCGTGCGGCCCGAAAATGGAAGAAAAAAGAAGTTTGTGTCTGGGTGGGGCTCACTGGGCGGCACGGTGGCCGCAAAGTGGCGGAAGCCGCTGCCCTTCCCGCGGGAACTGTGCCGCCACTCTCCCCTCGTTTCTTGCGGCTGGGGCAAGTGTGTCGGCGGCTGAACGGCGCACGGAACGGCAGCGGCGTGCGCCACGACGACTGAACGAAGCGGACGCGTCTCCCGCCTGCTGCCGCCTTCGCCGGCTGCGCCCCGTGCGGCCGCAGTTGCGTGGCATAACGTCCCCTCGCGGAGCCCACATGTTGGGCGCCCTGCGTGATTGCGTCGTGGCGGGCACTCCGGCGGCGCCCCTCCTCCTCCTCCTCCTCCTCCTCCTCTTCGCGGGTGGGCAGCCGCCTGGTGTGCTCTGCCCCTTCTCACCTGAGCGCATTGCGGCACAGCATGCCGCAACGAGGCGGTGCCATTTCCACCGTGAGTGGGCGGTGCCTGCGCGTAGCCACACACACACACACACACAGAGACGGAGATGTGTGTGGGGACGCGAATGGCAAGTACAGTGCGTGAGAAGAGCAGCGTCGCAGTTGCCGCGTGCCCTGCACGTTGCACACGCCCCCCTCCTCCCGCGGGGAGGGAAGAGCTTCGTCGTGGGCGCGTGGCGGGGCCGCAGAATGCGGTGCGGTGGCGGGGGTTAGTTTGCCTGCGCCGGCAGGGGGGCATTGGGCGGAGTGGCGATGCCGCCCCCCGTGCAGTGCGGTTGCCCTGCCCCGCACCGTGTGGGCTGCCTGTGCCTTTTTATTACGTCTTTTTGCCTCTCATTTTTCTTTTGGCTGGTGGTGGGTGTCCAGCTGCGACGCGAGCCAACGACAACCAACGAAGGAAAGGAA